AACTTTTATTTTTTCCCACGCATGTGCATGTAGATGCACATAATTAAAATAAATGTTTGGTTGATGCAATCTTCAAATGCATTTCTGTCTCATAAAGCCCAAAACACTGTCATTATTATCATGCAAGAATCTGCATTAGAAACAACAGAGAGCTTTTACTGCATAATCCTTAGATACTATCGCGAACATTTTATTTGCTGTTGGAAGTTGAAAAGCAAATWTTTCTCACTCGATCGCCTTATTTTCCCTAAACTGCTTATAATAAATATTTCCACCTCTATATTTATGTTCCATTTACTCCCAAATACGCAAAATATGGCCAACAATTAGTAGGCACTTGTAATTTAAAGTTATGTCTTTTTTGTAACCCAATTTATTAACCCATGAAAATTGAGTTTGGTCATAATGCAATTTTTCCTCAAGAGGAGTTTTTAAAGACTCAACTGCACTTTCACGCCACTAATAAATTCAGCTAAGTATTAAGAGTAAAGTTCTAAATGATCTAATGAAACTTTATTTGAAGTTATAGTCATAATAAAGACTCAAATTGCTTTTCAAGATGTTCACGGTACTGAAAACAAATTACAAATCATTGACACTAATTGATTATATAAACAAATTTTTTGTGAAATACACAAGTTGGCTAGAATTCACTTTATGTACATAGATAAGTATTAAACAAAACGGGAAGGGATTTATTGAAATTGGAAATCTGATTTGTTTATGAAACAGCTTATCTGTAGGTCAGTTTGATGTTGTGGTTGGCCAAACTGAAAAACGATGGTAGTTTTTTAATTCAAATTTATCGGTACAAAACTAAAAATGTCTTCAATTCCGTGAATATGCAGTTATTTTTCCTTAAAATGTATGTGAAGTGAACGGTATAGTCCGTAAAGTAATACTTTTCCCGACTCTTACGTCATTAATTTAAAAAAAAAATTGCTTAGGTTATAAAAACTGCTATGGTTTAATGTGAAACTTTTTTTCGGATCAATACATCAATAAACTGATCAAAACATACAAATACCGCGGAGTACTTGCACGAATGAGCAAGAATATAAATGCTACACGGTCAGATAAGGCGAGCCATGGGCGCCGCCATGGACCCCTACTCCGCGGCCGGCTGTAATGCGACATGCGATAGATGGACGAAAAATTTTGAGGCGATGGAAAAAAATTCACTTTAATAAATAAAATATTTTTTTTATATGGGAAATCTAAGGGCAACACTGAATTAAGTCAAGGTTGCCAAACTAAAATTAAAAATTATGTATACATCTCGTGCCTTTTCAATCGCCAGACTGGCAACGTCGCAACTGTGTTTTGACTGTGATTTCTGCATGAAACAAGAATCTGGGTAACAATTCAACCCTATAGACACATTTAGACCCAAAATACTCCAGAAAAAAATATAAAAGTGAAAAAACTCCACAACTCTTAATTCAAATTGTTTTCTCAAAAACAACTTATATTAAATTATCTCGTCACGTATTTCATTGTTCTTAGGTTGAGATTTGTGGTAACACATGTAACGTTCTTGAAATCACAAATTTCTGCTGCAAGTGGAAATGTGAATTACATATTTGACATTTTAAACTTTACTTTAAATTCAGCTGCTAGCGGCATAAAATGCTTTTTATTATTCATTTATTCAAAAGCTTTTAAAAGTTTGGAAATTCTATTTTTAGTTTTTTATTTTTAGATTTTGGGTATGGCTTTTAATTGATACAATTAACAAAAACTTGTTTTGCAAATTAATATTTCTATAATAGGAACAGAAATATTTGCAAATTTAATTTTATGAATTTTAATTATAATTTTTCTATCAAAAGTACACATTTATTAATAATTATTTCATGGTTACTGAAAAATCGTGTTTGGTTATAATTTCTGGACTTTACACCGCGTAAATTATGAGTGTTGTTTACGAGATTAAAAATTTAAAAATTTTTTTACATATCACTAGTAAAATCAATAAAATAATAAATTTTGTGTTTATATTTGAATTGTAGTTACAAATGGAACCAAAGTCATATAGCTTTGAATTATTGATCTACAATTACCAATAAAAAGATTTTTTGTAAAATAAATAAAACACAAAGTAGTTTGATATAACTTAACTTATTGATTTTATGTGTTTTTTGGGTTTTTTTTGACAATCACATTTTAATAAAAATAAAACGTCTGTTGCCTTCTAAAAGCATTACCTGGAGTAATATTTTAGAGTTTTTCGAGTTTATCTAATACATATTTTAAAGTGAAGTTTTTAGTGTTTGTTCAAACTGTCAAGTCGGATCGATCATATGTAAACTCTTTTTCTTTTAATTTTTTTCCTTTTACTATAATGCGATCTCGTGTTTCTAATAAGAATTAGAAACCAAGTGGAAATTATTATCGTTAACCTTAATAACTCGTTTTGTCTAACATTTATCTAAATTAAAATCAGCTCGAAGTTTAGTGTCCATTTCTTTTATTGCTAGTTGAAATAAATACACATACCTGTCCGCAGGCAGTGGCGTAACAAGTACAAAAGAGAAGGGGACAATTTTGACAATAGCTTAGTGAACTTAATCTGTTTTTCTTTAATTCAAAATTAATTAATAAAATTTGCATTTAGAAATAAATTAATTCTGTGAAGTGGTCTCTAGTAATCAAAAAAGCACTAGTCAAATGTTAAATTTTTTAGTCTCTGATTCTGGTGTCATTTACTTTTAAAATTTTGGATGTTTTCAAGAAATGTTAGAACTCTAATTAATAATTGACTTTGCAATCCACTTTT